AAAATAATTACATATTCACTCCCCCCCCCGCCCCGCTCCCCACCATTTTTAAAGCAAATGACAGAGACTTCTCTTTCTTAAGTCACTTTTCTTAGGAAAAAACGACTTCACGAGAAGATAGGGATGTTCTAGAGTTAGGCCGTGTTCTACGTGATGCTAATCAACTTGCCACGTCTGAGAAGCTATCTGACCTGTCACGCGGGCGTCTCTTCGGCGTGACGTGCTGACCTGTCGCTTATGACCCCACCGAGGTGGCGGCGTTGGGCTCCTGGAGCGTGCCGTTAGTAAAACCCTGGTGTTTCATTGTTGCAGACGAGTAACGGAGGCGGGAGCTTAAGCGACTATTCCTCCTCCGTCCCGTCGACGCCGAGCACCAGCCAGAAGGAGCTTCGAATCGACGTCCCTCCCACGGCCAACACGCCCACACCCGTCCGGAAGCAGTCCAAGCGCCGGTCCAACCTTTTCACCGTGAGTGTCGTCCCCGGGAGGAGGCTGGAGGGTGACTCCCCACAACTTCAGTTCCCGTCCACCTGTTAGTTGTAGAATCCACACTAAGCATTTGTAGAATCCACACTAAGTTAAGGAGCAGAGCACTGATTTCTGTGGAAGCCTAGGAAAATGATGAGAGGCAGAGGCTGGAGTACTGAGTAAAACTTGCATGTCGCGGGGCGCGGGACATTCGGGTGCGGGTGTCCCAGTGAAAAGTGAGGACTTGTGGACAGTATTTATGACCTCGTGATTGTCTCCGTCTCCAGAGAAAGACTGGTCACATTGGCTACGAGGAGGTGACAAAACTGTGCCAGAATTCCCAGACGTGTGCCTGTAACCTGCATGTGAGACACATAAGCCATTTCGATGCACAGATCCCCCTCCTTCTTCTCAGGCTGTAGCGCCTGAGAATCTACCACTGGGGGTGGCTCTCGGCACCAGGAGCCTTCAGTGTTTTTGGAGGCTCGTGGACGTGAGGCTCTCCTCTTGGACTCTTCTTCAGAGTCACTTACGGAGCCTTTTAGAAACTGTAAATCAGCTCTCTGGGCTTAGATTTATGAACTCAGGGCCTGTATGTGGGCCCCAGGCATGTGTAGTTTTTAGAAGCTCCCTGGACGATTGGGAGGCAGAGAACCCCTGAACTAGGGGGGAGGCAAAGGTGCTACTACTGAATCCCTTCCCGTACACACGGCAGACATTACCAATCAATCGTGAAAGGCTCTGCAGTTGAGCCCAGAACTCCAGGCAGAACAAATGTCCTGTGACTGGAGTTGTTTGCCTTGAGAAGAACATTTTTCTTTCTTGGGACCCGGTCTGTGCATTAAAAATACATGCTTTTGTTTTGTTTTATTTATTTTATTTTATGACTATTTTTGAGAGAGACCGAGTGCGAGCAGGGGAGGGGCAGAGAGAGAGGGAGACACAGAATCCGAAGCAGGCCCCAGGCTCTAGCTGTCAGCACAGAGCCCGACACGGGGCTCGAACCCACGAACTGTGAGATCATGACCTGAGTTGAAGTCGGATGCTTAACTGACTGAGCCACCAGGTGCCCAAGTATATGCTTTTAACGTAGTGGTTGTCAACCAGGGTGTTTTTGCTTCCTGGGGATATTTGGCAGTTTCTGGAGAAACTGTGAGTTGTGACAACTGGGAGCCGGTCGGGTCATGGGTAGCACCCGGGGTTGCTGCTAAATATCCTACAAGTACCAGCCAGCCCTACACCAGAGAGTCACCCGGCCCCTAATGTCAGTTGGTGCCCCGTGTTAACCCACTGGGCTTGTCCTTTTGGTGGATTGCTGCTGACCGAGGTGCCGATAAGCCCAGTGTTTCCTGTCTTGACCTAAAGGGGGGCTCTGCAGGGGTGGCTGGGGGCCCTGCTCACCTGCTGCCCTTATTTAGAGATGGCGTTCTGGTGACCTGTGTGGCTGCCGAGCACGGTAACACCCCCCGCACCTTTCCTACCAAGTTCGAGGCCACTTTCCCACTGGATGGTCATAACCACCAAGGTCGGCTGCCAACGGGCCCGCCCCTTTTCTGTGCCGTACCGCGTTGGTTCTGGCAGATGCTGCTGCTGCGGGAGGCACAGAGCGAGGACCAGACAGACCAGGCTCGGACCCCAGCCTCCACTGCTGGCCGCTGGTCCCCCTCGGCGAGCTGCTTAGCCTCTCTGAGCTGCAAACTGCAGCATTCTCTGTGGACAGTGCTGCTGGAGGAATCCTCCGTGGGGGCAAAGGGCCTTCGTGGCCTGGCCTTTGTTTTTCTCTCCGTGCTGTTGCAGTCAGAAAAAGGATTTCGGACGGCGCAAAGCAAAAGCAGGTGCAGGACCACGTGACAGCCTGGGAGGGAGGGGAGGCGGGCGTCCGGTTTGCTTAAATTCGTTCATGGCTTCAGAGGCCGCGTAGTGAAATTACACACCCAAGAGTGATAGCAGTCCCCACCTCGGCCCGACACTGGGAGCCCCGTGCACCCCAGGCCAGGGTCTTTGGCTGCAGAGATGTCACCCACAGACAGGCTGTGTGCTCACTTGGGACTCGTGGACTCGGGACACCAAGTCCCGAAGGCGCGGGGAGGGTCGTCGGTGAGCAGGACGCCCCCCGGGCGTGAGTGAGGGAGCAGTGAGGGCTTCGAACACAGACCAGGAAGTTCTCTGTATCCTTGCCACACCTGTTAGGGCCCAGCAGGAAGAAAGGACACTCAGGCTCACCGTCATTTCCCAGGGTCACATTTACCGGTCACTGGCTTTGGTCTCTATTCCAAGGAAAGAGGTGAGAAGCCAGGGAATATCGTTAAAAAGGGGGCTATCGATAAAGAGAGCGGTGGCCCATCCCCATTCCTGCCCCTTACGAGGCTGGCTCTGGAGTTGGAACGTGCCAGAAAATCTTATCCCTGGCCCTGCCCACTAGGTGACCATGACAACCCCGGTCGCTTACAAAGGAGAAAACTTTAAGGCAGGAAGAATGCAAGTAATAATAACTCGGTTAATACATACTTCCTTGCTGTCTGCAGAGACTGGTTTTCCTATCTGTCAGGAGTAGTTCTTGCCAGAGTCAACCCACGTTCAAGGGAAAGTGTTGTGGAGAAGAAGAAGGGGCGAGAGAGAGCAGAGAGGTGAGGATATGGTCTTTTTGCTGCTGCTTTGGGCCGTGCGTGCGTCCGAGAGGAGGCCGGACCCCCAGCTGTCCCGGCCAGGCGAGGCAGGTGCCAGAGCCAGCAAAGTGCCCCCTGAGGGCTACTGAAAACCCCCTTTCGTCATGCCAGGAGCAGCGTATCTGATAACGCAGAAGCCTGCCCGTGAACCTGTTAGTTACTCCTGCCCACTCTCTCTTTAAATGTTGGAAAACAGTCTGAGAGTAAACCGTTTCAGAAATTGAGTCCAGCTGCGCTGCTGTTCTTGGCGGGAACAGAAACTTGGGGTCATGAAAGAAGCCAACGCCACGGTGGGTTTGCCTCATGGTGTTTAAGGAGAAAGGCTGCGATCCCAGGCGGGAGCCAGATGTGGGCCACTACTGGGTTTGACGTCGAACGAATCCGTGGCGGTGGTGATGGTGACGTGTGTGTATTTTTAAGGTGAAGAGCTTAGAAATATTAACTCCACTAGATGTCAGTGTCATCCAAGGAATGAAAAGCGGCAAATTAATTTTGAAATTGTAGCAATTAGGGAACTAGATTCTCATTACTAGTAGCGTGCACCTATTTTTAAATACGTAAAATTCACGGGCTCTTCATACCTGACAATCGTTGGTAATTATGGGCTCAAATTGGCAAAACGTGTATTTATCTAAAAGCGTCTAGTAGGAGGACAGATGTGCCTTATGGCGAACGTCTTAGTAAAGATCCCTACAGCCTGGAACTGTAACACCCGGGTGAAGGGGCGCTGTCCACCTTATTTATTAGACCGTCATAAAGAGGCCAGAGTTAATTAAGTAGTACACACATCATTTTTCAAATACCGTGCTTATAAATTTCACAGAATAGACCTGTAACGTACCCACCACTCCGGGCTCACGTTTTGCAGTCACAGATGTTTGTTTGCATATACGTGCGTTTTTAGACAGAAATCACATGCACTCTAGAATAAACTGGGATAAACACACAAGCTAGAATAAACTTAAAATCACTCCTGTGGTAGCCAGTTCGTGTTACATTTGCAGTAGGGATCCATCAGAAGCTAAATAATACCTTAACTTTGCTTTTTGCTTTGGAAAAAAAAAAACCACGGTTTTGAGAAAAAGAAGTATTAAAAGGCTCCGTCCATTCAGTGTTTGGTTTTCTAATATGGGTTCTTAGGACAGTTAATTCCGTGTCGTTGCACTAAAGTACATGTGGTTAAGATGTTGTACAAGAAAATATTTTCATACAGAGGAGTAAAAAACACGTGCACATACTTAACCACCCAGCTCATCAAACACAGGCATTTTGCTGCCGCTGCTGCTCCTACTAAAGAAATAACACGTCTTGGGTAAAAGTTGAAGCCCTCCGGGTGTGCGTCCTGAATACAGCCCCCACCCCCCCACCGCCACCCCTGCAACGTGTCTGAGGATCAGCATGACCTTGAGTTTGGTGTTTATCGTCTGTATCCGTGTCTGCAACTAAGGCATGCGTCTGTGACTGCGCGCTGCCTTGCCTTGCCTCTTTTCAGATGTTAAAATAACAGTGTCATTGACACAATCCTTTCAAAACCTCACCCTGTCACGCCGATCCCATTAGAACAGAGCCAGGCGTACCCAGTGACCACGTTGTGAAAAGACTCCAAGAAACTCTCCGTAAAAACAGGCAGCGAGGTTCATGGTGTGAATAGACGCGTTTGTGTTTTGTGTGTCATAGAGGAGAGTGTGGGTCCTGTCACCGTGTGGCCCGGCAGCCTTTGACTGGCGATGGCTTGCAGGGGAAAAGCAGGCTTCTGTCCGGCGGTGAGGGCTCTTCAGCGATGCTTCCTGTCCCCGTGCGCAGCTGGCGACGGGGGTCCCCTCCATGGCTTCTTGCATCACGTGGGGAAAGGTAAACATTTTTGCAAAGATGGAGGTGGCGACGGGGCTGTCTCTCTCTTCCTGGCCCCCATGTTTGGTGTCGGCGAGGGTGGAGGTCTCTCTCCGGGCCGCTGCCGACCCCCTTGCGGAGTGTGATCAGCCCTTGTTGGGCGCCAGCTGTGTGCACCTGGCCGGTCGCGTCGCGCGGTGACTCCTGACACGCGCAGCTGGCGCCCGCAGCCGCTCTGTACCGGAGGCTGTCACGGAGCCATTTCAGCACGAGCACAAGGATGCGCTGCGGCTGGTGTCGTCTCAGGGCTGGCGGATGGCTCAGGGGATCTTACTGAAGATACGTGCGTCGCGGTGCTTATGTCCGGCGGGTTTGTCTCCGTGTGGCCCTTGGGTCTCTGTCCTGTTGGCGGGTACTGCAGTCTGCTGGGGGACAGCAGTCGTGGGACTGAGGATCGCGGTCCCTGAGATGTCCGTGTTCTGGCCGTCTCCACCAGAACCTTAGAGCCGTCCGGGAGCCTCTGGGGCATTTTGGCGGTGGAGTCTTACTAACTTTCAAGGTCATTCACCTCCCAGTGCATGATCAGACACTGAGTTTGGTTCTCCAGAACCTGCTTCTGCAGGATCTGGAAGTCTCCTGCTCAGAGACAGGGGGACTGTGGGGACAGATGTGCTGCCTTGAGGAAGATGTTAATTTTTTGTTTGTTTTGTTAATTATTCTGGTTAATAGAGAATAATGAAGGTGGATTTTTCAAATTGGGAAATTTGGAATTAACCAGATTTCAGAAGTATCATTAATGATCTCTGTTGATTTAAAAAAAAAAAAGTTTGTTTTTTTTTTTTTTTTAAATATTATCACTGGGAGCTTTGAATCTTACTTTACAAATAGAAACCTCGAGTTCCGACTTGCCTGAGCACGTTAGGATATGGCAAAAGGAGAATTTAGGGCTATTTCATGGCTGTAACTGTACGTTATTAATTAAAGAATTAATTAGAAGAGTGAGCCCCTACCCTGTGGCTAAAATTCATGACAAGGAATGGGCTCCCTTTTAGCCCAAATGGACAAACTTTCTTCTACATTTTTCTTCAACTTTCTCTTTGCTGCTGGTTTTATGTCCTGTTACCCCATGCCAGGCTTCTAGCCTCCTAAAGAAAAACGGTGCACAGTGTCTGGCACGTAGTAGGTGTTCAGTGAACGTTGGCTCTTACACCAGCAATGTGGCATGTTCCCTAACGAGCACACATGCTCTTTGAAGCGCCACATCTGAGTTTATCGCAGGGACTTTCCTCTCTCACCCCGTGACGTTGCCCCTTTTAATATTTAAAAAAACTCAGCTGCCCTGTCTTACACCCCTCGGAAACTGGATTTCATTAGCTTTTCATTGCAGCACTGGACACCGCAAAGTCTATTCATTTCATATATCATCTCCGATTTGAAAAGCACATGAAAATGTTTCTCCATTTTCAATATTGCGTGAGTAATGTTCCCATTGAAAAGTAATGGAGTGAAGTTGTCACTTGTCAGCACAGTTATTAAGGAGGACGAGTTTCAGATCTTTCTCTCATAATAAAATAAATCTGTCAGAAAATCATTGTGCTCACACTCTCTCTCATGCCATCGAGAGACGGAGACTGAGCCGCGGCGTGCCTTCCACTTGCCGAAGTCACGGCGTGCGCGGGGTCGCGTCTTCCCCGGGCAGCACGCGGCCGCCCTCCCCGCTGGTCGCCCGCGCCCGGGGCCGTTCACGGAACGTGGACAACTCCACCAACAAGGCTGTTCGACCGACCTGGCCGACCAAGCTGCTCGTTTTCTCCCAAGCGCTGATATTTTGCCAGAAGAGATACTTTCAACTTTTTTCCCCTCTGTTATGTTTTGCGGTGTGGCAGGCCAGTTGGATGCGGAGGGTGTTGCTTTCTAACCATCCAAAAGCAACACTAAAAAAATTTTAAAAAATAAAAAACATTCACGGCACCTAGATACGAACGAAGGGTGTACTGTTCAATCGCCCAGCTCCGTCGTTAGCAGAATTTAGAAATCCTTCAGACGTTCGTTAAATATATACGTTTACGTGGTCGGTTTCTCAACCAAGCTGCAAGGAAGGAGGCCTCTGCTCCTTGGCTGTATTAACTGCAGGCCCAGAACGTGTTTTCCTGTTGGGTGTTGCTTCGCTATATGGTCCATTGGTTTCCAGTAATTGAATTTTGAACTCTTTTAAAAAAAAGAATTAAAAGGTAATTCTGCGGTGGAAAAGTAGGGAGAAAAGTTGAGAAAAGCCTGTGTAAAATGACGGATCAGTGGAAATTCAAAGTACTAAACGGTCTGCTTCTCGGACGTGCGTGCATACACGCGCACGCCGTCCGTGGCTTCTCCGTATGGGTGTGCAGAAACTATTCAAATAAGGGCAGACCTGCAGATCCGTGAACCGCAGCCCTCACCCAAATGCTAACTTTATTTTTGCTTTGCAGTCTCGGAAAGGGAGTGACCCAGACAAAGAGAAGAAAGGCCTGGAGGGCCGAGCAGACAGCATCGGGAGCGGTCGAGCCATCCCAATTAAACAGGTACGCCGTTTCCCCCTTTCTTCCCTTCCTGGCGCTGGAGGCACACCTCGGGTCTCTCCTTGCTATGATGCTGGCTCGTGCACCAAGGTTTGTTTGATGTGCTCTGTTGATGAATGTAGAAGTCACTCACTTGACATCAATTAGAAGAGGTTCCTGTGTGTATTAAAATAGGATCATTAGAATAAGAAGAGGGAAAATGTGACAACAGATCTAATGAAGTACAGTCTGCCCGCTGCATATGGAGAGTGTTTCGAGGCTGAGCTGGCTTCAAAGGCCGCCTTTGTAGCTCGGCTTTGATTGGGCCGCTGGCCGCCAGTCGACAGGGGTAAATCAGATCGCTGTACAAGAGCCCCTTGTGATCACAGGAATAGCCCGATGTGGCCCTAATTTGCTCTCGCAGACGGACATCTGAACACTGTTTCAGGCTGGTTTGTAACAACGAGGCAATTAGTTGTGATAATCATAGCCGGTGTGTCAGCTGCGCGCTCTTGTTTGTAATTTGCTAATGAAGGAATTGTAACTTTGATTAGGTTCAGTTTCATTTAGACCTTATTATATAAAGGAACATTTACAGCTGTAATGTGGGGCCTTAATTAAACTTCCTCATTACACAACAGGACTTGAATTCAAGCATTTGTTTTGGCCTGTGTTGCTAGCCTGGAATAGGTTTTCATTAGCCCAGAAACCGGGAACCAAATGACTTTGTGTCTCAAGTAAAGTGGGAATTCACGTGACGTATTTTGCTGTTACGTTCCCAAGGAAAATAAAAATAAAGACTTCGACCCAACGCTGTGGCTCCTGGAAATAGCGTCTTTTACTTTGTGAAAGTATTTGCGAAGTCCAGTTGATTGAGAGTGCATTCTGCTTGAGAGAGAGAGGAGGGGGAAAAAAAAAATCTGTGGGCAGAATAATAACTCTGCCTCCTGAGAACACGGCTGTGACCAGTTTGTCCCTCTGGGTGATCGCTCTCTGTCAGCTTCTACTGCGGGCACCTAGGCCGTTTCCCAAACCCTTCGGCAGCCCCGCTCGGCCCCGGCCGCCCTCACAAAGGGCCAGAGTCTGGCGCACACACACCTTTGCGCCATCAGGAATGCAGCCGCAGGGGCCGGGCAGGTTCGGTGTGGACGTACCGGAACAGGTTGGCTAGAGCCCTGGCATCCCGGGTGAGGCCCGAGCAGGCACTCCACGGGGTGTTTTCACGAGAGACGTTCAGTTACTTTTTCTTTCTTTGTGTGCCTTCATTTATAAATGGAGCCGTCTAATAAGGCGATTTCAACGTGTGATTTCTCTGCCACCGACGCCGTTTCAACCAGAATTATGAAAACCGTTTAACTCCTTTTTCTCTCATTTAAAACATCGGTCCTGGGACCTTTCCTTTTGGGAATATTAAAACTTAATTCCAGACTGTTTCCTTAATTCACGCCTATTGCCGAGGAGGGGGCTGCTGTCCTCTGCGCGAGCCGGGCAGGCCCCCGGTGTAATCGGAACCTTCGCTCAATCTCTACCCGGCTCGTCTGCAGTGGGCGGGGGGTGGGGGCTGCTTTACGGGCCGGGTTTTCAGCACGTGTGCCGATTGGAGTTGACCATCAAGCATAAAATGAGTATTATCCAGTCCCTGGAAGCCTTTCAATTGTGAATGTTCAAAATAATCACGTCAAAATCTAAATCATGGTCTGATTTCCCGAGGAATCGTACTTGGGGAGCACGTGCAGTTCTCTGCCCCCGTAGCTGCCCCCACGTGCAGCCACGGGTGGACCCCTCCCCGGAAGTGCACACCTGTCAGAGCCCCCCCCCCGCTGCGGCAGAATGTTCCAGGCCTCAGATTCCTCATCTGTTAAATGGGCTCTGGATGATACCGGCGTCCCCCGTAACGCTGGGATGCAGACATTCCAGAGAGAATTTTTTTTAATTCCAGCAACACTGGATTTTCAAATCAGTCCTGCTCGGGGTTCTTTCGTTGGAGCCTTTCTGTGGGTCACCGGGATTGATGTGGGTCCAGAGACGGTCATATAGATTTGTCTCCCACGCCCGTATGTGCCGTGTTTATAAAGGAGCCGAGATCATTAGAGATGGTCTGAATTCCTAACCCTCCCAGCGTCGTGACTCCAGCCAGAGGAAATGAGGAGCCGGGGCTGCAGAGGAAGGAGCCAGTGGCCGGCATGTTCTAGGAGCTCGCCAGACCCGTTGTCGAGGAAACAGTATAAAAGACACTTACGGTTTACGCGCTTTTCCCTTCGTGTCCCCTTGAACCCTCCACGTTGCCGCGTTGAGGTGGCCGTGTCGCCCTCACTTTGTGTCTAAACCCAGACCGGGCGGCTTAGGGAAGCGAGGGGGCCAGGGTTCGGAGCCCAGCGCCTCTGCTCCTTGCGCGGCCTGTGGGTGAAAAACCTTCAGAAAGCTTAGAAAGCAAAGTGACGTGTTTTAAGTGAAACACGTGAGCCCTGACCTCAGACAAAAATGCCTTCTGCCCAGGGGCGCCCGGGTGGCTCAGCCGGTTAAGCGTCCGACTCTTGATGTGGCTCGTGTCCCAGTCTCACGGTTTGTGAGATCAAGCCCGACATGGGGCTCTGCGCCGAGAGCACGGAGCCTGCTTGAGACTCTTCCTCTCTCTCTCTCTCTCCCCTCCCCCCGCACCTCCTCTCTGTCTCAAAAGAATAAACAGACCTTAAAACAAAAAACCAAAAACCTTCTGCCTACGAAGAAGAAACGTC